GCCCCCAAATCCCTATTTTTTTTTTTTTTAAGAGAGAGATATTTACTATAAGGCACAGGCGCTTGCCAGAGACACAGAGAGACAGAAAGTGAGAAATCACTCCCCAGGGGGGATGGTCACGATGCTTTCCTTCTCGTCTTCAGATTTGGGCATGAATACAAACACACCTGGCATTTCAAGCTGCTAGGTCTAGGACTCAAACTACGCTTGGCTATGTGGGAGTCCAGTGACGTAACCGTTACACCATCTTCTGGCCCCAAGTATTCCCCAAGAGTTTCAGGGATGTGAAAGAGTTAATTCAGTGTAGTTGGCACCTTAGGTTTTTTAACCAGAAAGGCTCATCTTAAACTCCTAGGTGCTTCAGATGTTCTTTCTCCTCCCTTTTTCTTCCCAAGTTAGTTGGTCCTTTCTTGACTTCATCACAGATTGCTCACCTTATATTTTTTAAGTTCTGGCCTTCAGACATAGAGATTGTAACATCCATTAACAATTGGCACCAAAATTAAGGACAAAATACATGGCAGACTTCAGCAGCCATATATGACATCTGTTGATTTTTTTTTTTTTTTTTGGTTTTGCTATAGGGCTCATGCGCTCGCCAGACGGACAGAGACAGACAGAGAGACAGAAAGTGAGAGAAATCACCCTCCGGGGGGGATGGCCATGCCACAATCCCTTCTCCTCCATTCTCCTCTTGGGATCTTGCCGGCGTGAGTCTTAAGCCACCAGGTCCGGGACTTGAACCCCGGTCGACTACATGGGAGTCCAGCAACATAGCCATTACGCTAACTGCTAGTCCCGCCCTATATGACTTCTGGAGGTAATGATGAAACAACCTAAGGACCAACAGATGTCTTTCCCAGGATCCCCTAAGTACCCAACCATAGCCTCCCCGTAACTTAAGTCCCAATAAAACCTCCTTGTCCTCACCCTTCCAGCCAAGTCAAAATTCAACTTTCTGCATCCAGCCCTTTTCCTCTACTGGAAAGTGAATACATTCTTTCCTATCCACTTTCTCCCTCTGAGTTTGTGAATTCTTTCACAGCTTACCTCACAGACCACCTTAACACTTCTCACTCATCCCCACGCTCCCTCTGGCTCCCACACTGGCCTCCAATCTTAGCCTCCACAGTCACAATTAGAGGGCCCCATTTATAACACTTCTTTTTAAAATTATTTACTTATTTTATTGATCATTATTATTTAGTTTGTTACAGGACACAAGAGAGAAACAGAGAAAGAGAGAGAGAGAGAAAGAGAGAGAGAGAAAGCAAGTCACCAGGTCCAGGACTTGAACCATGGTCAGCCATGTGGGAGTCCAGCGCCCCAGCCACTACACCACCTGTTGGCCTTCCCATTTCTAAACATTTCTAAAGCACATGGTATGTGCCAAACATTAACATATATCACTTCATTGAATCCTCTCAATCAGGTAAGTACTCATTATTATCCCCATTTTTAAAAATAATTATTTTATTTAATTCTTTATTTAATTATTTATCCATCTATTTATTTATTTATTTATTTATTTATTTTGGAGAGATTTTCACTGTAGGGTGCGTGCGCTCGCCAGACAGACAGACAGACAGAGACATAGAGACAGAAAGCGAGAAATCACCCCTCAGGGGGGATGGTCACGCCGCAATCCCTTCTCCTCCATTCTCCTCTCGGGATCTTGGGCACGCACGCACACGCGCCCGGCGTGAGTTTTAAGCCACCGGGTCCGGGACACGAACCGCGGTTGACTACGTGGGAGTCCAGCGACATAGCCATTACGCTAACTGCTGGTTCCCTCCATCTATTTATTTTTAACTTGAACAGAGAGGGAGAGAGAGAGAGAGAGAGAGAGAGAGAGAAAGCACCTCCCCTGGGGGGAAATGGTCATGTTGCAATTCCTTCTCCCCCATTTCTCCTTTCAGGATTTCATTCTTGCACTCACATGTGCCCAGTGTGTGTTTCAATCCCTGGTCCAGAACTCAGACCATGTGGTTGGTCATGTGGGATCCAGCCACTGTAACTACCATACCAGTGACTGGCTTCTGTCTTTCCTTCTAATCTATCCCCCACCTACTGCGAGAAGTATCTTTGTAAAATTTGATGCTGACAATCATTCCCCTGCTTAAATCCTTGCATTGCTCCAGTTGTCCAAATTCCTTGCATAGCATCTGAAATCCATCATAGTCTTAGCCAGCTTTCTCCCCAGTCATATCCTGCCACACTCTGTTACGCCCTGATCCAGTTTTTCCTTCTTCACTCCTTCTATGTACCTCTGCCCTGGCCACACAAAACTTTTCACAGCTTTCTGAATGCATTTCAGGCTCTTGCCCATATTTCTTTTTGTGTGAAGCTTTCCCTATACTCTATACAGCAAACCCTCCGGTGGGTTTCAAAAATCCAATTCTGGCGTCACCTCCTTTTTAATGTCTTCCTGACTCTCCCTCCCCCAACTTAGGCACAACCTTGTGTGCTCTCACGCTCTCTCTCTCTCTCCCTCTTTTTTTTTTATTTGTCAGAGGGCACATGTGCTCACTGGATAAAGAGAGAGAAGAGAGATCACCCTTCCCATAGGGGATGGTCATACCACAATCCCCTTTCCTCCATCTCTCTTTCCAGTTGGGATTTTGGCCACGCATGCATACACACTTGGTATATTCCTCAAGCTATTGGGTTTGGTACTCGAACAGCAGTTGGGCATGTGGGATCCATTCACCTTAACCAGCATACCACAGGCTGGCCAGTTTGCACTCTTTTATCAAAGCGTTTTCACCATTTTATATATATATATATATATATATATACACACACACACACACACACACACACACATATATTTAAGAATTATTTAATTTTATTCATTCGTTCATTTATTTTAATTTGACCAATGAGAGACAGAGGGAGAAAGAAAGAGAGAAAGCAAGCCACCAGATTCAGGACTTGAACTGTGGTGGACCATGTGAGAATGTCCAGTGCCTTAACCACCACGCCACCTGCTGGTCCCCCCATTATATTATACTTGTGTTTTAATATCTGTATCTCCAACTAGATATGAAGTTCTCCCAAGAGACAAACCCAGTTTCTGGTTTACCTTTTTTTGAGGGAGAGTTTTGTTTTGTTTTGTTTTGTTTTTTAGAATTATTTATTCTTGGCTGGCAAATGGCATGGGGGTTAAAGGCACTGGACTCCCACATGGCTGACTGTGGTTCAAGTCCCAGACCTGGTGGCTTGCTTCTTGCTTTCTCACTTTCCCTCTCTTTCTTTCTCTGTCTCTCTCTGATCAAACTGGAAAATAATAATAATGATAAATAAAGTTAAATAAAAAATATTTAGAAAAAAGAATTATTTATTATATTTTATTTTGTCATTATTATTATTATTGTTCTTCAGTTTGACTAGGGAGAGACAGAGAGAGCGAGATAGAAAGAAAGCAAGCTACCAGGTCTGGGATTTGAATCATGGTCAGCCATGTGGGAGTCCAGCGCCTTAACCACCATGCCACCTGCTGGCCCCAAGGAAGAGATTTTTCCTATAGGGCCCATGTGTTCACTGGAGAGACAGAGAGAGATAAAGTGAGAAATCACCCCCACCCCCCAGGGGGGATGGCCACACAGCAATCCCTTCTCCTGCATTCTCCTTCTGAGATTTTGGGCATGTAAGCACATGCACCTGGCATGATTTTTAAGCTCCTGCATCCGGGACTTGAATTGCAGTTGACCATGTGGGAGTCCAGTGCCTTAACCACTAAGCCACCTGTTGGTCCCTGCCCTCCCATTTTTTTCTTTTTAAATTTGGCAGAGGGCACATGCACTTACTAGAGAGAGAGAGAGAGAGAGAGAGAGAAGAGAAAACATTTCCCAATGGGGCACAGTCACATGGCAATCCCTTTTCCAGTTCTCCATCCTATTGGGATTTTGGGCTGGTTTGCACATGTGCTGGCACATTTCTCATGCCTCCAGGGTCTGAGACCCAAATCACAGTTGACCATGTGAGAGCTGACTCTCTTAATCACTGGGCCATGGGTGACTCTCTGATTCACCTTTTATTTTTTGAGAGGTTTTTGCTATAGGGCGCGTGCGCTCGCCAGACAGAGAGAGACATAGAGACAGAAAGCGAGAAATCATCATGTATGTACCAGTGAAACTATTTATAATGTGTTAGTAGGGGCTGGATGGTGGTACAGCTGGTAAAATGAAAGCTCCACAAGGCAATCCCATATGGGAAGGTTTTTGGCATGTCCTGGGCACACCCATCTCTCTTTGCCCAAGATCCTGGGTTGGCTGAGGCTGGGGTGGATTGGAGCATCAAGATACTGCTCTGGGTGCTTTCTGTCTCTCTCATGGAAAGTAATAAATAAACAAATGTGTGTGTGTGTGTGTGTGTGTGCGTGCGTGTGCACACGCACTAGAGGGTGTCTGCAATCGCCAGAGAGAGACATGAAGGAAAAAGCACACTCCCCACCATGGGTAATCATCACATTACATTCTCTTCTCCTCCACTTTTCTCTCCTTTCAGGATTTTGGGCACTTCCACATGCTTGTGTGCGGCCTGCTTCATCAAGCAGATCTGGGACTCGAACTGTGCAGATAGCCGTGTGGGATTCCTCTGCCTTATCCCACCAAGTCATGGAGCCAGCCCGACTAGAATGAATTTTAAAATGAATCAGTTGGGGGCGGCAGGTGGCATAGTGGTTAAGGAGTTGGACTCCCACATGGCCGACTAGGACTGGCTCAAGTCCTGGAGTTGGCTGCTTGCTTTCTCGATTTCTCTCTCTCTTGCTTTGTGGTCAAACTAGGGAAAAGAAAAAGATGATGAATATAATTTAAAAAATAATTCTTAAAAAAAAAAAAAGAAAAAAGGATCAGTTAATTTACTCCTAACGAAGGAGTCAGTCAGCGAGCAAGGAAGGCAGACTAGCTACACCTGAGCAGGTGCACTTCGGCTTCAGCCCCGCCTCGGCGGAACTACATTTCCCAGAAGGCCCCGCATCCCGCGCATGCGCACCGGCAAGTTCGGGAATCTGCGACGCCGAGTTTCACTCTAGCTGCCTGCCCCCTCCTTAGAGTCGGAGCCACAGCCGGAGCCCTGCCCAGGCCGAGCGGGAGCTGCAGCCCGAGCGCGGTGGTACCCTCCGCCTTTCCTCTTGCTCTCCTCAGCCTCGGTAAGACGGACGGGCGGGCCACCTGCTCGTCGCCAGAGATAGCGTCCTGAGGGCGGGGGTCGGGGACAAACCGAGCCGAGCTGGGACCGGAAGGGGCGGGCGAGGAGTGAGGGAGGGCTGGGCCGGGCGGGAGTCGAGCCCCGAGGTCCCGGGGGACTGGGAGGACTGGGTGAGAGTGAAGCCGGCGTGGAAACTGACGGGCGCGCAGGGAGGGGCGCAGCCGCCGGAGTTTGGGCTGTGGGGACCGTGTACCCCTTCCCGCGGGACCTGGGGAGGCGGCGGTGGTCCTGCCGCCCGGCTGCCCGGCCCGAGGGTGGGCTCTGCTGGGGGCTTCCTCAGGCTGAAGGGCTCCCCTGGGCTGGGGGCTGCGTACTTCGCAGGAGTTTGTCTCCGAACTCCGCTTTCCTTCAAGTGGGGTCCGCTTTCCCGGAAGCCCATGTTCTGTGGCCCTGGATCACTTTTGGGGATGCGTAATGTATATGCTAAAGAGGATTTAAAAGACTCTTCCTTTTTCTGGAGCTACCAGCTCCTCCCGCCTTTCCCGGCCAGCTGCGTCCTCCACACTGGCTCCACTTCCCTAAGTGCCAGTGGCAGTGGAAATAGGATGTGTCCCGACTCTTGGACCTTTAAGAAACTCGAAATATTTCTGCATCCCTTCCTGACTCTTTTAGAATTCTAGAAGGTAGACTTTGTAGTAGCCAACATCAGGGCTTCCCTTAGCCAGCCTTCTGACTAGGCCTCTTGTTCATTTGCTGTGTGACCTTGGCCATATTTTTACCCTCTCTGGTATGCAGATTTCCTGGCTCCATAGGCTACGGAACTCCTGTTAGGTCCTTCTGTGAAAGGGCTCTGGTTTTTTATAACTATCCTCTTGATTGTTGAGTGAGCAGAGGAAGACTACTTACTGTACCTCCTGATCTGCCCAGGCTGTTGGAAAATAAATCGGTCCAACATCTGTGCATTTAACTGCCGTTTCTCAATTTTAAACCTGATCATCTTCTTCCTTGTTGGCAAAGGTGCCTTGGAATTTGTGTCGCTGAGTCAGCAAGCCTTTCAGATTTGCCCGGTTTTTGTTGTTTGCATTTTATATCAAGATGGGAACGCAAACAAGTCATTCCTCCTAAGGATCTGGTGTCTCCATCAAGAAGGGACAGTTTGTGCCAGCTCTCCAGAGAGAAAAGGTGAGAGCCTGGGGACTTGACCTTGTTGCCTTCTCAGTCTGGTTTTCAGTAGAGAAGTGGGGACTGGGGAGAGTGGAATCTGAGGTCTCCTGGATGAAAGTGAGCCCTGGGAGTTGATTGTTGATTGCCCACTGTCTCAAATAAATTCAGGTGGCTTCTAGCCAACTGTTTCTCCTGTTTAACCAGTCTGAGAGAATGCTTTCCAGATGGTTTCCACTTTAAGACATAATTTATGGGATGAAGCGCACAAGTCAGGATTTCTGCATTTGAACTGGAAATGTCCATTTCTTTGCATACACCTTTTGTGGGTGCTAGATAAGATTTCTTGTCTTTGGGAAGCTCATTGTTTGGTACAAAAGACAGACAAACTACAGTCAGTGACAAGGTGTTGTCAGTGTGGTTTGTTTTGAGCTGGAGAATCACAGAGCAGGCCCCCTTTGCCCCATGCCTCTCCTCCAGTAGTGGGTAGGGTTCTGGAAGATGGTAGTTGTAAAGGAGAAGTAACCTGGCAGAGGAGTCAGCATTTGCAGTTACGAAGCTGCCTGAGCAAGAGTGGGCCACTGTAAGTAGCTCAGGGTGGCTGGAGCAGCAAGGGGTGGTGTGGGGTCAAGGAGGGTTTTGTAGGTCACGCCAAGGTTTTGGAGAGCAGAGGATTTTAGCAGAATTCGATGAGGGTATTTTCAATGAGCACACTGACTAGACAGTGCGGAATGGATAATGTTGGATTATTCTATTTGTAACTGTCTCCTTATACCACGAGAGCTTCTGGTAGGATAGGAGTAGATGAGTGATTTTGCCTTCAGTTGCTATAGTTTCGTCGAAGGGAGAAAATGCACATAGAGTAGGCCAGCAAGTGGTGTAGTGGTGAAGGCGCTGGATCCCCACGCGGCTGACTGTAGTTCGAATGCTGGGCTTGGTGGCTAGAAAATCACAATGGGTGTGTGTGAGTGTGGATGTGCCCAAAGTCCCAGAAGGAGAATGGAGAAGGGTGGCCACCCACCCTGGGGGGTGATTTCTTTACCTCTCTCTTATCTCTCTCTCTTAAGCAAGCGCACACAGCCTATGGGGGGAAAAAAAAGACATAGGGAACTGAACCACAGCCAGAATGCTGTGGAAATCGGTAAGAGGGCACTTTCTATCTGTTGGGCACATCACAGCATCATTGGAAGTGCTGTTTAAATTTGGCCTAGGAAGTCTGGGTGAGGTGAGGATGGATGGCCAAGTGGGTGGGGTTGGGGTAGAGCAGAGACATGGACTGTGGGAACCCCTGGATGTCTATGGCAGTGGCAAGTTCTCACTTAAATTTCTAGGGAGGGATTGAGGGGGAGGAGTATAGATGAGAGAGTATTGTAGGGGCATGCATTGGCAAATATTATTGATAAGGCGGGAGGGCCATTCCGTAATGGGTTTAGACTTTCAGCCTAAGGAAGATGAACTTTATTTTTGAGATCCAGGGGGAGATATGGAAGAGACAGGATCCGAACTATAAGTAGGAAGTTTAATCTTGCACCTTGTCTGAGGTGGACTGGGAGAGACAAGAGTTGGAGAACCATTTGGGAGGGAGGATTTATTAATGTTGGCGGCTCAGAGGTCCCAACTAGATGCTGGCAGTGGGGGCTGAGGTGAGGCAAGATCAGACCACAGCAGCAGGACTGTAGGGGAGGCTGGGAAGGAGCAAGAATCCTAGACGGACCAGCTGGTAATCCAGCAGCAAGGCAAAGCTCTGCAATGCTCACCCACCGGGAAGGGCCTGGCTCCTTGTCCCAGAGCCTTCCTGTATGCTCTGGGCACAAACCCGAGATCTGGACGGGCTGGGGGTAGATCACGGCATGGGGGCCCTTTGGGGGATGCCTCCCCTGCTATTGTGTCTCTGTTTCTCACTCTCTGAGAAGAAATAAACTAAAACAAACAAACAAAAAGAATCTCAGGCTTTTCTCCTGACTGCCTGAGCAGAGTGGAGCCCGGGGATCCAGGTGGGGAAGGAGAATTGAGAAGATAAGTTTAACTTCAGACATGTTGAAGATACTTAAGAGGCCAACAAGATGAGGCCATAGGCTGGGAGGAAAGTCCGCTTTCATTCCACAGACGCCTACTGGAATGTTGCGTGCCAGGGTTTGTGCATGCACTTGGAGTACAAAGATAATTAAACAGGCTCTTTAGTGTTTGTTTTATCAGGTAAACTGAGAACTGGATGAATGCACACTCATCAGTGCTCAGGCATGGCCTGCTTTTCTTTATTTAGTAACTTATTTTTAGTGAATGTAGTAAGCTCTGGCAATCCAGCCATCTAAAAACAAAGCTAGGCTCTTGAAACAAAAGTATAGATTTAATTATTTCATTTGATACCTTCTTTCTCATCCTGAGGTAACCATTATCCCCTTGCTTTCTTTTTTTGTTTTTCTTTTTAAAGAATCATTTTATTTTATTATTATTATTATTATTATTCAATTGACCAGAGAGGGAGAGAGAGACAGAAAAAGAGAGGAAGAGAAAGCAAGCCATCAGGTCTGGGACTCAAACCACAGTCAGCCATGTGGGAGTCCAGCACCTTCATTTGCTATAGGGCACATTTACTCACCAGAGAGAGAGAGAGAGAGAGAGAGAGAGAGAAAGAGAAAGCAAGCCCCCAAGTCTGGGATTCAAACTGTGGTCTGCAGTATGAAAGCTCAGTGCCTTAATTACCATGCCACCTGCCAACCCCCAAGTCTGGGATTCAAACTGTGGTCTGCAGTATGAAAGCTCAGTGCCTTAATTACCATGCCACCTGCCAACCCCTATATTATTGATAGATTTTTTTTTTTTTTTGAGAGAGATTTTTGCTACATGGCACATGTACTTGCTAGAGAGACAGAGACAGAAAGTGAGAAATCACCCTCCAGGGAGATGGCCATGCTGCAATCCCTTTTCATCCATTCTCCTATCAGGATTCTGGGCATGCACACACATGCACCTGGTATGAGTTTTAAGCCCCTGGGGTCTGGGACTTGAACTGCTGTCTACCATGTGGGAGTCCAGTGATGTAACCATCCCTATGTTATTAATCCTTCATGTAAATAATGAAAATCTTCTTCCAGTTTGTAACCTATTCTCCTACTTTCTTTTTTTTTTCTCTCTCTCTTTTTCTTTTTTTTTCCTTAAGTTTTTGCCCTAGGATGGATGCCCTTGCTGGAGAGATACAGAGACAGATCAGATCATGAGAGGGAAATCACCCCCCAGGGGAGATGGCCATGCCACAGTCCCTTCTCCTCCATTCTCCTCCTAGGATATTTTGGGCACACATGCACATGCGCCCAGCATGAATTTCACTTTATTTTATTTTTCAATTTGACCAGAGAGGGACAGAGTGAGAGTGAAAGAGAGAATGTGAGAAAGCAAGCCACCAGATCTGGGGCTTGAACCACAATCAGCCATGTGGAAGTTCAGTGCCCTTAACTACCACACTACCTGCTGGTCCCACCTAGCATGAATTTCAAACCACCAGTCTGGGACTTGAGCCGCAGTCAGCCATGTGGGAGTTCAGCACCTCAACCACCACAGTATTTGCTGGCCCTCTAAAATGTCTTTTTTTTTTTTTTAAGCACACCACCTGATGATCCTGACAAGTCAGTTATTTTAAACACTTAAGTGAAATAACAAAATAACAAAAGCATCCCGTTGTTGTTAATTCTCCCTCTATCATGTTATCTTTAATGCTGTTTTTCAACGTTTACCCTTTCCAAAATACATTATCCAATGCTCCCATCTTTTGTGAATTGCTCTGGCTTCATTCCTACTTCCTGTTGATTCTCTTTTTTTCTTTTTTGTTTTTTTCTAAGTTTTTGCCATAGGATGCATGTGCTCACCAGAGAGAAGGAAAGGAGAAATCACTCCCTAGAAAGGATGACCACACCGCCAATCCTTCTCCTCCATTCTCCTCTTGGATTTCGGGGCACATATACATGTGCCAAGCATGATTTTTAAGCTGTTGGATCTGGGACTTGCACCACAGTCAGCCACGTGGGAGTCCAGCTGCCTTAAGCACCACACCACCTGCTGGTATATGTATATATAAAATTATAATTTTTTATAAATATATTTTTTTTGAGAAGTTTTTGCTATAGGGTGCGTGCCCTCGCCAGAAAGACAGAGAGAGAGAGAGACAGACAGACAGACAGACAGAAAGCGAGAAATGACACCCACCCCACCCATCCCCCGGGAGGTGGCCATGCTGTAATACCGGCATGAGTTTAAGCCACCAGGTTCAGGTCTTAAACTGCAGTCGACTACATAGGAGCCCAGGGACATAGCCATTACACCAATTGCTGGTCCCATTTTTTAAGAGAGATTTTTGCTATAGGGCGCGTGCACTCACCTGAGAGAGCGGAACAGAGAAACAGAAAGTGAAAAATCAACCCCTTGGGGTATGGCCACGCTGCAGTTCCTTCTCTTCCTTTCACCTCTTAGGATCTTGGGCACACACGCCCTGCATGAGTTTTAAGCCACAGGGTCTGGGACTCGAACCACGGTTGACTACTTAGGAGTCCAGTGATGTAACTATTATGCTATCTGCTGTTTCCCTAAAATGTCTTTTTTTAAAAAAAAAGATTTTACTTTAATTTTATAAGTTAAGAGGTTGTGTATCCCCAGTAGGTTCTCAGCATGCTGTGATCCCCCTCCCAACCTTCCAGCCAGCCAGGATTGCAGGCATGCCAGGTATGTTCAGATCAGCCTAGGATATAAACCTGGGGCCTCTCCTGTGATTCTAGTATTGCACAGTGGCATCCTGTACCTGTACCACCATGCTGGGTCTAGGGCATCTTTTGTTGATGAATCATTCTTAACTTTTTTACATTAACAAATTAATTTCATTTTGCTATAGGTTGTGTGTGTTTGCATGGGATATGATGGGAAAAGAGACAGAGAGGGAAAGTGAGAACCCCCCCCTCCCCCGGGTGATAGCCATGCCGCAGTCCCTTCACGATTATCCTCTTGGATTCTAGGCATTCAGGCACACATGTCTGGCATGATTTTCAAGCCACTGGGTCTGGGACATTAACTACAAAGTCAGCTATGTGGGATCAACTTTCCCAACCTCCATGCCATCTCCTGGCCCAAATCATTCTTGTTTTTTGTTGTTGTTGTTTAGAGATTTTTGCTCTAGGGCTTGTTTGTTCGCTGGAGAGACAGAGAAACAGAAAGCAAGAAATCACCCCCCAGGGGGGATGGCCATGCCGCAGTCCCTTCTCCATTCTCTTAGGATTTTGGACATGCACACACATGCGCCCAGTGTGAGTGTCATCCCGCCAGATCCAGGACTCAAGCATGGGAGTCGAGCACCTTAACTACTGTGCCACCTACTGGCCCCTCATTCTTAATTTTAACACAGCAAAATATACTTTTTCATTTATAGTCGGTGTTCTGTGTCATGTTTGTCCCTGAACATAATCCTTGCCTTTAAGGAGCTTATGCTGTAGTGGAGGGGACAGATAGGTAATTGCACACAGATGTCACATGAGCCTTGATTGTTAGAGTGACCACTTCTCTTTGTGGGTTAGGAGTGGATATAAGAAAGGTTTCACAAGGCAGAGAGTCTTAAGCTGGGAATTAAGAGATGAATAAGTGGACAGGTAGGATAGACCTTCTCAGTGAGGGTGAAGGGCATGAAACAGCTTGACTACTTCCGGGCACTGCCAAGAGGTCCAGATGGCTGGAGCTGAGGGCTGGAGGGACTCCGGCCCTTCATGAAGACAGATTTGGGTGATTGCAATCAGGGGCTTATTGAAGCAATGGGGACGAATAGGCACAGGGGAGTATAGAGGGAGGAGATGGGGCCAGAGCCTGCTGTCTTTTTTACTTTTATTTATTTATTTATTTATTTATTTATTTATTGCCATGGGGTATGTGTACTTGATAGAAAAGAACAGAGGGAGAGGGACCAGCAGTTGGCATAATGGCTATGTCGCTGGACTCCCATGTAGTCGACCGCGGTTTGTGTCCCGGACCCAGTGGCTTAAACTCACGCCGGGCGCATGTGCGTGCATGCCCAAGATCCCGAGAGGAGAATGGAGGAGAAGGGATTGCAGCGTGGCCATCCCCCCTGGGGGATGATTTCTCGCTTTCTGTCTCTCTGTCTCTCTCTGTCTTGCGAGTGCACGCACCCTATAGCAAAAAACCTTTCCAAAAAATAATAATAATAATAATAATAAACAGAGGGAGAGAGATGGGGAAAGTGAGCTATCACTTCCCAGGGGGAAAGGCCATGCAGCAGTCCCTTCTCTGTTCTCCTCTTGGGATTTTGGGCATGCATGCACATGCACCCAATGTGTTTTTCACGCTGCCAAGTCCAGAACTTGAACCGCGCAGTTGGCCATGTGGGATCCAGAGGCTTTAACCACCACACCACCGGCTGGTGTGAGCCTGCTGAATTGATGCCTAGAACGGTCAGTGCCTAGTGGCTCTGGGAAGCATGGGGGGCTCTGGAGGTGAGCCCTGATGGTGTGCTACCTGCTGTGCTGTTGGATGCTGTTTCAGCCTCAGGTATTGGACAAAGGCTGACATGTCTGAGGGCAGGGTGTATTGTTGGCAAGGCTAACCAGAGCCGTAACTTTCTGATGGAGATGGGGTTCAGCGAAGTATTTCTCAGTTGAAGGACAGTGTAAACACAGTAACAGATTTCGGGTGGCCAGTAGCATGAATTTCTACAAACTGACCTGTCGAGCAAATCTGGCCCAATGTTGTTTTTGCTCATAAAGGTTTTTTGGAACACTGTCTGTCTCTCTAGCAAGTATACATGGCCTATGGCAAAAACCTTAAAAAAAAAAAAAAAAAAAATAAAGAAAGAAAGAGAGCATGTGCTTATTGGAGAGACAGAAAGCCAGAGGGGATGGCCATGCCACAATCCCTTCTCCTCTTGGGATTTTGGGCACACGTGCACCAGGTGTGAGTTTCAAGTCGCCAGGTCTGGGACTCGAACCATGATCAGCCATGTGGGAGTCTAGCACCTTAACCACCACGTCACCTGCCGGCCCTTTCTTTTTTATTGTCAGAGGGCATGTGTGCTTACCAGAGAGAGAAATAAGGCACCCCCTATAAGCTGTGGTCACATGCAGTCCTTTTTCTTCTTCCTTTTTCTGTCAGGATTTTGGGCATGTATGCATATAACACCTGTCATGTTTTTCAAACTGCCATGGCTAGGGTTTGAACTGTAGTTGGTCATTTGGAATCCAGCTCCCAGAGCACAGCACTTAACTACTGTACAGTGGGTCAGCTCAGAGTATTTTGTCTGACAGAAGTAATAACATTGTTAACTTTAGAAAATGTGCGGGGCCAGCAGGTGGACATGGCCTACCACAGTTTGAGTCCTGGACCTGGCAGCTTGCCTTCTCACTTTCTCTCTCTCTCTCTGGTGAGTGCACATGCCCTATAACAAATAAAATAATAATAATGGGACCAGCAGTTGGCATAGTTATGTCTCTAGACTCCCATGTTGTCAACTGCAGTTCAGTCATGGACCTGGTGCTTAAACTCATGCCAGGCACGTGTGTGCATGCATGCCCAAAAATCCTAAGAGGAGAATGGAGGAGAAGGGATTGTGGTGTGGCCATCCCCCCAGGGAGTGATTTCTTGCTTTCCATCTGTCTCTCTGGCAAGTACACGTGCCCTATAGCAAAAATCTCTTAAAGAAAAGAAAAAATAGAAACAATGAAAGATAAATAAATAATAGAAAAAGGAAATGTGGAAAGGTCAGACATGTAACGAAAGCCCTTTTGTAGTTTAACATTGATTACATTGGGACCAGTAGTTAGCGTAATGGCTATGTCGCTGGATTCCCACGTAGTCGACCGCGGTTCATGTCCTGGACCTGGTGGCTTAAACTCACGCCGGGCGCGTGTGCGTGTGTGCCCAAGATCCTGAGAGGAGAATGGAGGAGAAGGGATTGCGGCTTGGCCATATCCCCCCTGGGGGGTGATTTCTCGCTTTCTGTCTCTCTGGCTCTCTCTGTGTGGCGAGCGCACGCGCCCTGTAGCGAAAACCTCTCAAAAAACAAACAAACAAACAAAAACATTGATTACGTTTCTTTTGAGTTTTCTTTGTGCTTCCCTTTCACATGGTAGAAATAGTGCTATGGTAAATGTCTGCATGTCAGAATTTTTCTGTGAGGTGCCTACCACTATAGTGGCATAGTGGTTAAAGGCATTGGCCTTTAGTGGTTTAATGGTTGGCCACAGTTCAAGTCTCGGATCTAGCTACTTGCTTTCTCCCTTTTCCTTTCTCTCTGTCTCTCTCTGGTCAAATTAAAAAATAACAACAAATGGAATTAAAAAATAAATAATTCTTTTTTTTTTTTTTTGGAGAGGATTTTTTTTGTTTTTTTTTGCTATAGGGTGTGTGGGCTTGCCAGAAAGAGACAGAGAGACGGAAAGCGAGAAATCATCCCCGACGGGAGATGGCTACACCACAATCCCTTCTCTTCCATTCTCCTCTTGGAATCTTGGGAATGTATGCATACGCGCCTGGCGTGAGTTTAAGCCACTGGGTCCGAGACTCGAACCATGGTCAATTACATGGAAGTCCAGCAGCATAGCCATTACACCAACTGCTGGTCCCAATAATTCTTTTTTTAAAGGATTATTTATTTAATTTTATTTATTCATTCATTTATTTTAATTTGACCAGAGAGAGACACAGAGTGTGAGAGAAAGAGAAAGGGAAAGTGAGAAAGCAACCCACCAGGTCCGGGATTCGAACTGTGGTCGGCCATGTAGGAGTGTCCAGTGCCTTAACTACCAAGCCACCTGCTGATTCCCTAAATAATTCTTTAAAAAATTTTTAAAAACTTTTCTGTGAGAGGTTTATTGGGTCAAAGGAAGTGTAAACGTTTTTTAAAAATTTATTCATTTATTTAATTTGACCAGAAAGAGACAGAGCGAGAGAGAGAGAGGGAAAGTGAGAAAGCGAGCTACCAGGTCTGGGACTCAAACCGTGGTCAGCCATGTGAGTGTCCAGCGCCCTAACTACCACGCCACCTGCTGGCCCTGGAAGTATAAACATTTTTAAACCTCTAGATACAAATTACCAACTTATTTTCCAGAAAGATTTTATCCATCCCAGCAGCACTGAGTATTGAAGTTATTTTTACTAATTTGGTAGACAGAAAGTAATATCCCTTTTTAATTAATTATTTTAGATTTTTGTCATAGGGTGTGTGTGTTCGCCAGAGAGCAGAGAGAAGGGGGAAGTGAGAAATGGGAACAGATAGGAGGGACTGGGGGAGTGTCGAAGGAGGAGAGTGGGCACAAGCACACATCCCCAGTGTGCTCAGGGAGCTCGTGGGATGCAAACTCAGTTCCTTCCATGTGGGTCTACTTTTACTGCTGCGTCACTGCCTGGCCCCAGATCACGTATATCTAAGTGGTGGTGAGCATTGTCTTAGGTCCCTAAGCCTTTCATAACCCTTTTTTTTTTTTTTTGTGAGAGGTTTTTGCTATAGGGCGCGTGCGCTCGCCAGACAGACAGAGAGAGACAGAGAGATAGAAAGCAGGAAATCACCCCCCAGGGGGGATGGCCACGCCGCAATCCCTTCTCCTCCATTCTCCTCTTGGGATCTTGGGCACACACGCACACGCGCCCGGCGTGAGTTTACACCACCGGGTCTGGGACTCGAACCGCGGTCGACTATGTGGGAGTCCAGCGACATAACCATTACGCTAACTGCTGGTCCCACCCTTTTTAAAGACTGATCTGTGTTCCATCATTAGGACGTTCCATAATTTGTTTAAGAATTCCCTTATCGTGGGGCTGGCAGGTGGTGTGGTGGCTGAGGCGCTGGACTCCCATGTGGTTAACCACAGTTGGAGTCTCAGACTTTGCAGCTTGCTTTCTCACTCTCCCTTTCTCTGTCTCTCTCTGGTCAAAATTGAAGAATACTGATAATAAATAAAATTAAAAATCAGTAAATCTTTAAAGGAAAAAAATAATTCCCTTATCGTAAGGTGTTTAGGTTGCCTCCAGATTGAGGCCTTTTTCCATGGTCAATTATAATAATGATAATTTTTATAATTAAGAACATCCTAAATAGCCCCCATCATTAGGGGCTAAAACAAATTAGGTTTTTGAACCACAGCTCAGTGATGGCAGAGGCCGTTGCTCAGAATGGCTGCACTGACCTGCTGCCGTATTGTACGTAATTACTGGGTTCCAGCGCAAAGCCAGTGGGCGTTTCTGGGCATTGGCTCAAACATGGCTCGTGCCCCTGGAGCAGAAGGTTCTCCTCTCCATTGTCTTCTGGTGGTTGAGACCCTCTTGGGTATATGCCATTTGAGGAGTGGCAGCCCATCTTGAGTCAGTCTTAGCTCTGCCTTCAGGGAGTTCCTCTTTCTGCAGGGGCAGGTACAGAAACCAGTAAATGCAATTGGGTTTAGATAAGCAGCCTAGGTGTAGAAGACCACAAGAAAGGGGAGTCAGCCCTCTCTGGTGAGAGAGTGGGTCAGAGGGCTCAGGAGAGGGGAGACGTGGCTGAGTGGAAGGATGGCCTGAGTGGAAGGGGACTTGTATGGAGGGAAGAGAAGTCAGGACTTCTGCACCTCCAGAGTCAACAGGTGGGAAGTAGCTTGGAATGTTCTGGGACTTGCTAGGATCGGATGTGACTGGAGATAAGATACCAAAGATGGGAAGGCTTTGTCTGAGTGGGGACAGTGACTGGTCAAGCCCTGAGGTGCTTTTGTGCATGTCATCCTCATCTCAAGTCACCAGGGGACTGGGCCATGGTCGTTCTGGGGTCTGTGGAGGCAGCCAGCCTTTAGGTGAAGCTTTAGCTGCAGTTTTTGCCAGTATTACTTAGAGTGTTTGGCAGAGTTCTGTGAGCTGGTTCATCTGGGGATGTGTGGACATGCTGGAACACACCCGTGTGCTGAGGATCTGGGAAGCGCCAGCTGCTGAGATGAGTGACACCTCAGGAGTCCTTGATTCTGAAGCCAGGCCTCTGTACCTCCGTGTGGTCACGGAGACTTCTAATTATAGGCACTGAGCTAAACCAGCCAGCCATCCTGAGGGCACCCGATGTTGAATCTTCCAGGGCAGGAGATGGGCTTTTGCCAGATGAGTTGGCAGCTCAGTGGCAGGCTTGGCACCCACAGGTGTGTTTAGTCACCACAGGCCTGACCTGACTCCTGTGTGCTCATGCTGTGTGCTGGGCACCAGCACTGCTCTTGGCCACTGAGAGCGAGGTGACGGGAAGAAGGGAGGCCAAGACTTGTTGACTATCTGCTCTATGTCCAGTGCTGGGCAGGTACTATTACCTACCTGTCTGTCTGCATCCCCATGAGAGCACTTAGCATAAATGTTGATATCTCCATTTTCCAAATGAGAGAAGGCCAGCTTGGGGAGCGAGCATACTGGCGTGAGGGTGAACCAGGAAGTACGCAGCATGTTGACACCCATGCCTTTTATTTTGCATGGCAGATCCAGAGCTCCCTCCCATCTGGGGCAGGTGGTCTTGGCCTTCTCACTGAAACTTGGTTGGTGGGGGCCGGCAGGTGGCATGGTGGTTAAAGGTAAACAGTTCTTTAAAAAAAGAAACTTGAATGGTGAACAGTGGTCTCAGGGATAGAAGTGGAAGCTCGGTGTCCTGGCCTTAGCCCTGGCCACGTTCTTGTGAGCAACTTACTGGAACTACTTGGGTCTCAGTTTCCACATCTGCAGATGGGATACAGAATGATGTGGGTACTTAAGGGGAATTTCGTGGGAATCAACAGTTTTATGAGCTGGGACCCCGTGAGCCCAGGGTCTTCTGCGGGCATGCTGGAACAACTGAGGGTGTATAGTGCTCGGAACGTGGTTCCCTCTCCATCCTTGCCTCTCTCTGAGCAGGGCCTGTTAGTGGAGTCCAAGGCAGAGTTCAGGCTGAGCCTTCCTCTAAGAAAAGGGGCCTCAGAGCCACACTGAACTGAGTGTATCCTCTGTGTTGCCTCTTAGTGGTATTTGTATGACCTTGTAAGTCCTTTCACCTCTTTGAGCCTTTGTTTCCTGCCCTACAGTAGCAGAACTAGCACTTTGTCCCCTGTTAGACTTCAAAGGAGCAAACCTGTTGGGTGTTTGTCACTAAACAATGTCCCCTGGTCCTCTGCGGCTCCTGCATGATGGCTCCTGCATGATAAACAGTGCGCTTGTAGCCCTCTTGCTCAGACGGCTGTGGGAGCACAGTGGAGTCGCGCTTCACAACCGTCGTGTCTGTTGTGTTCAGATCTGACCAATAGCAGGTCCTCTTCTGGGTGCCAGCAGCCCAGCCGTGACCACGGCAGGCTTTCTGCATTGCTGCTGTCTGTGAGCCAGAAAGGCGCAGTGTGTCGTCATGCTCATCCGTGTCTGTCCGCGTCTGTGGTCGTTGTCATAGAGTTCTGTCAGATGCTGTGGAGAAGTACAGAGGGCTGTGATAGGTGGCCGGGAAAAACCTTGCTGGGTGACATGTGCTGAGCCTGAAGACGCAGAGAGGTCACAGGAAGAGGGTGGGGGGAATGACTGCGAGAAGAACATCTCAGGAGCTAGGTGGGAGCCTGGGGCGTGAGGAGAGCTCTTGGCTCTGATGGTGGGTCAGCAAGGCTCAGGTGCAGGGTCTGTGGGGTGCACAAAGGCTTGGAGAGGCCAGAGAAGGGCATTTTGATGTTCCTCCTTTGTGGTCAGTGATCGACTCCCGGTTCTGCCATTGTCCCCTAGGTGTCCTTAAGCCCCTGGTCCTTTGTTTTCTCATCGGTGGCACAGCGAGCATTAGCGTATATTATCTTACACACAAATCTGCTTTGGAAACCTGCTTTCCTTGCACAGGTGTGGGGGTCACCGTGGTCGTCTTCCACAGGATTTGGGGCACTCAGTAACACATGTGGTGTGAGGTGCAGTGGTGCGGCACTGCGGTGCAGGAAGCATATGGAAGGTGGGTTTCAGTTCCTGAGTTGGCTTGTCCACGCCGGGTGTGCATGTGTGCCAGTGATCTCGGTTGGCTAGGGAGGCTGGGGAAGATCACAGAGTGACCTTCTTGAAGGTGCTTACCTCTCTCTCATGAAAGAAAGAAACTTAAAAATAAAAGTACACACAACATGGGGCCAGCATGTGGCATGGTGATTAAGGCACTGGACTCCCACATGGCCGCCCATGATTCAAATCCCGGACCTAGCAGCTTTCTCTTTCTCTCTCTATCGCTCTCTGGTGAGCGCATATGCTCTATAGCAAATTAATAACAGTGATCGACTCCCGGTTCTGCCATTGTCCCCTAGGTGTCCTTAAGCCCCTGGTCCTTTGTTTTCTCATCGGTGGCACAGCGAGCATTAGCGTATATTATCTTACACACAAATCTGCTTTGGAAACCTGCTTTCCTTGCACAGGTGTGGGGGTCACCGTGGTCGTCTTCCACAGGATTTGGGGCACTCAGTAACACATGTGGTGTGAGGTGCAGTGGTGCGGCACTGCGGTGCAGGAAGCATATGGAAGGTGGGTTTCAGTTCCTGAGTTGGCTTGTCCACGCCGGGTGTGCATGTGTGCCAGTGATCTCGGTTGGCTAGGGAGGCTGGGGAAGATCACAGAGTGACCTTCTTGAAGGTGCTTACCTCTCTCTCATGAAAGAAAGAAACTTAAAAATAAAAGTACACACAACATGGGGCCAGCATGTGGCATGGTGATTAAGGCACTGGACTCCCACATGGCCGCCCATGATTCAAATCCCGGACCTAGCAGCTTTCTCTTTCTCTCTCTATCGCTCTCTGGTGAGCGCATATGCTCTATAGCAAATTAATAATAATGATGAATAAAATAAAATAATTCTTAAACAGAAATATAAGATATGATAGGATAGACTAAGTAATGGGGTCAGAGAGAAATGATTGGAAACAAGACAGAGGCTGGCTAATGATCAGCACTACCGATCGCCTCTGCTGCATCTTGCTGAACACTTGCAGAGGCAGGGAGGCTGCCGGGATGACGTCAAGTTCTTCCTGGCTGCTAGAGCAGAGACTGGGTCAGAACTTTGAAACCCGATGCCCTTGAGGCATTAGAGGGGGAAGTGACCATGGAAAAGCATGGTGTTTTTAAATTTCTTTCCCTGGATTGAGGCTGCCTCTGGCAGGGCTCCTGTATGTGTTGGTAACTGCTTGTGTCTGTCCGTTCACAGGTCTGCTGGAGGCGCTGGGCAATGAACCTGAGACTCCTGCCCAGAGGGGTCTGAAGCCATTTGAGAAAGCAGAGGGAGTCCTGGGGAAGATGGCCATGGCCCCAGGCACTTCCCTGGCACAGGTGTACACCAGCCCTGTGGCAGTGGCTGTGTGGGAATGGCAGGACGGGCTGGGTACCTGGCACCCCTACAGTGCCACTGTCTGCAGCTACATCGAACAGCAGTTTGTCCAGCAGAAGGGCCAGCGTTTCGGGCTAGGGAGCCTGGCCCACAGCATCCCCTTGGGCCAGGCAGATCCCTCACTGGCCCCTTATATCATCGACCTTCCCAGCTGGACCCAGTTCCGCCAGGACACCGGTACGACATGTCTATCTCTAGTACAGGTCTGAGCGACCGCTTTGGGCCAGGTGCTGTGCTAGGTGCTGGGGTTCCAGAAGTGGCTCCCCAAGCTTCATTTCTGCCCCTGAAATACATGTGGTAGAGAAGCAGGTGCTGTGGGTGAGAGCAGCTTTCATGCAGTTGGGTGTGTATGAGAACACACAGGATAGAATGTCCCTCGTAGTCCCCGCGGTCCCCTTCCCCTCCTCTCCCAAACCTAGAATGCCTTCTCAACCTGCAGAGATTCTTTTTGGCAGACAGGCAGCACAGAGGTAGTGTGCCATGGTCATGAAGAAGGCCTGGCGGTGAGTTCTGGCTCTACCGCTCCATAGCTGTGTGTTGTGGGTGGCTACCTCACTCCCTTAGGCATTTATGTTTTGTTTTTTGCATTCTGTAATGTATTTTGGTCAGTATTACTAAGAACAGAGCCACTGACTTCCTCTTGAACCATCCCCTTCCCTCTAATCCAGCTGTTCTCAGGGGGCAGATTTTACCCCAAGGGACATTTGACAATTTTTGGAGATAGTTTTGGTTGTCAGGGCCAGGTGGTCAGTGGAAGACGGGAGGATTTGCTCCTGGCACCTAGTAGGTACATGCTAAACATCCTGTAGGACCCAGGGCTGGACCCGCAACAAAAGTTTGGCCCAGAATGCCACTAGTGCCAAGGCTTGAGTGATTCCTGTCAGCAGTGTCCTAGGCTGTAAAACCCAGGGCTCCCGGTGAGTCAGATGCAGATGAAAATCCCTGCCTTCGTATTGTGCTCAGTCCACTGAGACAGACACCAAGCAGGACAGCCAGTATAGCAGCTGTGTGCTGTGGCAGGTAGCAGTGAGCACCAGGCAGGGGTGGACGTGGCAAGTGCTGCAAGAGGTCTGTTTGAAGATTGAGCTCAGGTGGCCAGGTCACTGAGAAAGGACAGGCAGACCTGCTGGAAGGGCAGGACGGAGGGAGGGGCAAGTCGTGTGAGCTTTTCAGTCTAGAAGGGCCTTTGGGTTTTATTCTGAAAGGGGTAGCCATAGGAGGATTGGGCAGAGGAGTGGCCCCCTCTGATTTGGGGGCCAAATCTCCCTGATGATGGAAGCAGGGGCCGAGGGCTGAAGATCAATTAGAAGGTAATCACAGTGATCTGTCTTCTGACAAGTGCTGTTGGAAGCGTAGGTCTCATTGTTTTTTTTATTATTATTATTATTATTTTTTATTCTTATTCTTTAGATTTAATTTATTTATAATGGGGTGTTTCCCCACTTTAGGATTTGAAAATCAGAGGGAATGGTGTATCCATGTAAGAGAATTGTGTAACAGTAAAGCTCCCCCACAGGACCATTGTCTTTGGGACCCACCAGAGTTTTAGAGATAGAGGAAATGCTTGTGGCATAATACATGAAAATAGCAGGAAATGTTTTCAGTGTGATTGTCAGTTTCTTAAATACCTGTGCCTGAAAGACTGGATAGGAAGAAATGCATTGCAATAAAAATTGCATGCTTTCCTTTCAGTGGTTGAATTTGGGTCTTTTTTTTTTTTAAATACTTTTTCTTTTTTTCGGAGAAATTTTCGCTGTAGGGTGTGTGCGCTCTCCAGACAGAGAGAGAGAGACATAGAGACAGAAAGTGAGAAATCACCCCCCAGGGGGGATGGTCATGCCTCAATCCCTTCTCCTCTCGGGATCTTGGGCATGTACGCACACGCGCCCGGCGTGAGTTTTAAGCCACTGGGTCCGGGATGCAAACCACGATCGACTGCGTGGGAGTCCAGCGACATAGCCATTACACTAATTGCTAGTTCCCTTTTTTAAAAAATACTTTTTAATCATAATTTTTTTAAGGTAAAAAAATATATATATATATATTTTTGGAGAGGTTTTTGCTATAGGGCGCGTTCACTCGCCAGGCAGAGAGAGACAGAGACAGAAAGTGAGAAATCACCCCCCAGGGGGGATGGTCACGCCGCAATCCCTTCTCCTCCATTCTCCTCTCGGGATCTTGGGCACGCACGCACGTGTGCCCGGCGTGAGTTTTAAGCCACCGGGTCCGGGACTCGAACCGCGGTCAACTACGTGGGAGTCCAGCGACATAGCCATTATGTTAACTGCTGGTTCCCCAAGGTAAAAAATATTTTTTAAAAGTTTATTTCCAGGGCCAGTGGGTGGCATGATAGTTAAGGTGCTAGACTCTTACATGGCCAACTATGGTTCAAGTCCTGGTCCTGGCGGCTTGCTCTCTCACTTTTCCCCTCTCTCTCTCTGCTGAGTGCACATGCCCCGTAGCAAATTAAGAACAAATAAATATTTTTTTAAAAAGTTTATTTCCTCCATGAGCAAGAGAGACAGAGATGATACTGAGGGAGGTGTCTGGACAAGAACCTAGAGCCTTCCCATGTGGGTCAGCCTCACAGAACATTGCATTTTACCAGTGAACCATTGTCTGTTCAATTTTTTGAAGCAAAGATGGGTAGGTTTTATCATTAGAAATATTTTGAAAAGCATCCTTAAGTCTGGACCGTGACTTATGCTTTCAATATCCTCCTGCCAAGGAGCATTGAGTCCCCTCTTCCACTTGATTCTTTTGGGCCCTGGTTTCTTAGAGTGTCTACACTTTACCTCCCCCCCAAAAACTGGAAACTAGATCACGTAGCAACATGACCACATACCTATGGTGATCACTCATTTATTTTGATTATTGAAGAAAAATGTTTAATTCTTTGCATTCTGGAGGAGTCTAACAGAGTAACCATTTATGTGCCATGCTCCATTTAAAACAGGCACCATGCGGGCTGTGCGGAGGCACCTGTTCCCCCAGCATTCAGCCCCGGGCCGGGGCATCATCTGGGAGTGGCTGAGTGATGATGGCTCCTGGACTGCCTATGAAGCCAGCATCTGTGACTATCTGGAGCAGCAGGTGGCCAGGGGAAACCAGCTCGTGGACTTGGCCCCGCTGGGGTATAACTACACCGTCAACTATGCCACCCACACGCAAACCAACAAGACTTCCAGCTTCTGCCGTAGCGTGCGGCGCCAAGCAGGGCCTCCTTACCCGGTGACCACTGTCATTGCTCCACCAGGCCACACAGGAGTCGCCTGCTCTTGCCACCAGTGCCTCAGTGGCAGCGGGACTGGCCCAGTGTCAGGCCGCTACCGCCACTCCATGACCAACCTACCCGCATACCCTATCCCCCAGCCCCCCCACAGGACCATTGTCTTTGGGACCCACCAGGCCTTTGCCCCATACAACAAGCCCTCGCTGTCTGGGGCTAGGTCGGCGCCTAGACTGAATAGCACCAACCCCTGGGGCGGGGCACCTACCACTCTGGGGAACCAGCATCTCTACCGCTCCAGCCTCTCCCACTTGGGACCTCAGCTTCTGCCTCCAGGACCGTCCACTTCCAGTGGAACCAGGTATCTTCTGTTCTGCTGGTCATTGTGTCAGCCCTGGGGGTCCTGTCAGCATGGCGAGGTTTCTGCTTTTACTTAGCTGGGAAGACTCACCTAAATGCCTGCAAGCTTGGCGGCACCTACCCCCTTGGTTTTTCCTGTTTTGCTGTCCCATGTGCATATGCCACGTGGGTGCTGAGGTGCTGTGGCCATCCATTGCCTCTAGTCCTGGTAGTCACCACATGGCTTGAAATTGCCAGTCCTTTTTACTCACTCAGGTGCTGTGTAGCAGAGCTCCAGGCCGTGTGCCTGAGCACTGCATGGCCAGGCTGTATCTGAGTGTGTTGATTGCTGCTGTGTGCCAGGTGCAGGATGGCAGAGACAGAAGCTATAGCTCTCACTCCTTGCCTACAGTCAAATACCAAGGAGGGCTGGGAACCCAGTGTCAAGTATGTGGTGGGTGGGGTGGGGCCACAGGTGGCATTGGTGATATAGCTCCCATACTGCTGCATGCAGCCCAGGGAGTCTTGTGGAGCTCTTGGAACCTTGAGAAAGCTGATGAAGTCATAGGCTTGATCCAGACCAGGTGGCTTTTTAATTTTTTTTAAAGGGAGATTTTTGCTATAAGGGTGTGTTGCACTCACCAAAGAGGAGGAGAGACAAAGTGAGAAATGCCCTCCAGGGAGAATGACCATACCACAGTCCCTTCTCCATTTTCTAGAGATTTGGGGCACACTTGCCCAGTGAGAGTTTAAGCTGCTGGGTCTAGGACTTGAACCACCGTTGACTAGGTGGGAGTCCAACTTTCTAACCATTATGCCATCTGCCGGCTCCCCAGGCATTTTAAAGTGAGAAAATCTCTCAAACATGGCTCATGGGGTAACTGAGCTGACTGATGAGGGGCATCCTGGCTCCTCATTATTGAGAACCTGGGGCTGAGAGATTCAGAATTCTGAGTGATGCCAGGATGGGGCTGCTGAGAGACCACGATCTGGGTGATTGTGACAGTCTGTGGGCCTGTGGCCTCCCCGTTCCTCAGGGATAAGGGCATCTTGTTGATTTGCACTGGTAGTGGCCAATTGGGTGCAACCTCACCTGATCCCGTCCCTCCCTTCTTTACCACCTGATGTGGTGGCTGGGACCTCCTTGGTAGCTTCTTGGACCTAGTACTTTTTCAGACTAGATTACAGAGGACCCTGCCAACTCCAGCAAGATGCATTACGTACCAGGTTCTATGGAGCAGGCTGCCGGAGTGGTTTCATTAGTCCTCCTAGTGGCTGGTGGGTAAGTAGGTAGTATCCTTGACTTAGAGATGAGAACGTTGAGGCTGATGAGGTTGGTGACAAACTAGTGGCAAACCTAGGATTAGACCCAGGCCCCAAATGTGATCTGTGGGACACATTGGGAGTTGTTGACGTGCTCTGGTGGGCAGAGTGGTGAGGACTGCAGAGACATCTATAGGGATGATGAGGAAGACGGTAGGCAGAGGAGGTGATGACCCTTGAGTGGGTCAGGATTTCCTTGGGTGTTTTCTGGTAGGACCTTTGGGTCTGGAATCTTTCTGGAGATAGGGAGTACGGTGAGGTATCATTTGGGCCCTCTGAGCTTTTGCAGATATAGCAAGTAGGGGTTCTGGGAGGTTCTTCCCCTGCCTCCCATCCTCAGTACATGGGTTACTCCCTTACGGAGTGCTCTGTATGCAGCCCAGATGGTTATTGGGAGTCCTGGGCTTTTGTCGGTTCTATGTCACTTAGCCACCTGGGGCTTCTTAAGCACTTACGCATTATTTCGAGGTACATTCTTAGATCGTGCTAGAGATAGGATTCTGGGATTGAGTCAGATGCCCTAATGGGGATTTGTCCCTTTTCTTGTGGTACGGGACTCTCATTGGTCTCCCCTAAACCATCTTGCCTCACTTCCCCACAATATTTGTTTGGGGTACCCCTCCTTTGCCTGAGGGCCTGAAGATACTGCTGATGTGGCCCTGCACCAGGCACGTTGCAGAGGATAGGTGGCTGGGCCAGCCAGTCTTGCCTCTGGTGTTGGGCCCTGCTTGTTGCTGCTTGCTGTGTGAGCCAGAAGGGAACCAGGCCAGCCGGCTTTGTTAGTTGAAACAGCCTCAAAGGGGCCTGCCTTCTGGAGTAGGTGTCTATCCCTATTTCCTCCGGCTTTTCTGAAGCTGGGAGGGGTGTAATGCACTTGTCTGGGCCTATCCGTGGTTTCCCCATGCCTCATTTGTAGTATGGTCCTGTTAGCCCTCCTCACACAGGTTGTAAAGCCGGAGGGGCTTAATGAATACTTGACTTCTTAACCCAGCAGGTGCTGAGAGAATCAAAAACACTTGGCACCTTGGTCTCCCTAGGGGCTGCGGTCAAGTTCTCAAAGCCAAGTGCACATCAACAGCATTAGGTGAAAGTTTCCGTGTCTGTGGGAGGAGGTGGCAGAGCAGGCAGTATAGGTCTGAAGACAGCACCGTGGCCTGGGCAGGCCTGGAACCAACTCTATCTACTGGAAGCCATTGGAAATAGCAGTTGAGCAAGTGAAACCAAAAACTTTTGTAGAACCCATGTGTTTTTTTCATTTTGTTTTTGGAATGCATGGGGTTTTAAGTAGCTTCTTGCTCAATATGGGTAAGCCATTGGCTCTGCCTCCCGGGAATAGGTAGTAATGAAGGTGTGTCTTTGTTGACTGAGCCGCTGCTGGGTTTATGTCAGCTTCCTGGTAGCTGAAGTTTATCCCTTTAAGCACCAAAACTTGTGTTTTAATGATACTGGATGCAAAACATTCCAAAATGTGTCATACACTCTCTTGTCCTTAAGAGAGGGTGTGACTCTTCGCCTGGTGTTTTGATGACATGGGGTAGTGATTAGGACCAGCAGTCTGTTGCCCATCAGTGTACGGTGAAGCTTTGCCCCTGTGCCACATGGCCCTGAAAGATGGCTGTCCTCATTGGTTTTCATCCGTGCCATTCTTCCTCCGAAGGGCCCTACTTCCTTCTGCTGTTGGCCTGGCTGTGTTTTGGCTAGGGTGATTGGAATCATGGGGTCCAAGCAGAGCCTTGCTCCTGTCTTGCTGTAGGCCCTCTGGTCAGCTCCGTTCCCTTTCCCTGTTTTTCTTTTCCTCTTTTGAGATTAAGTAGTTGAACTGGTCAGTTTCTGAAGCTTCCTTTTGTTAAAATATTGCTATGGTTTTCAGGATGTAGTTTAAGGTCCTAGAGGAAGGTGCCTGGCTACCCTTAGGCCTTGGTTCGACCTCCCTCTGCTCTTCTGAGACCTGGGTAACAGTGGACGTTTGTTTTGGGCTTTAGATTGAGCCTCACTATCATTCTGGGGGCCTTTTGAAATTATCCTCACCTTATAGATAGAGCAATTGAAGTCCAGAAAGAGGACTGGTCGTGTCCAGTGGAAACAGGTTCTGGAAGAAAGGTTCTAGCCTTACATCTGTGCTCCTGGTGCTACACATGCTGTCAGAGTTTGCCAGCTGGATGCCGGCTGCCAGCCCACATCCTAGAGTGTAGGGAGTGGAGAGGGGCTTGAGATTTCCTGACTCACCAGTCTCACCTTTGCCCCTTGCTTGGGACTATAAAATCGATCCGAACCGAAGACGTGGTCCTCATGTCTCATCTTCCAGTCTCCATTTGGAAGCTCCTGGAGATGGGCTCCTTCTCTGTGGGGAAATGTGGGCCTGGACCTGCCTTGGGCCAGAGATACTTAGCCACTGCACTGAGCTGCAGAGCCACGCTTCGATTTTCTGCACTCCTTGTTAAGGGCTGAAGGCCTGGGCTTCCCAAAGAGTTGGCCTGAGAGACCTGAACTGGTGGTGTCTTTACTACCTTCACTCATAGAACCTCAGAATTGCGTAGGTGACCAGAGATGACCTATCTTTCTTTCTTTTTTTTTTTAAAGAGTTTTTTGCTAAAGGGTACGTGCACTCACCAGAGAGACAGGGAGACAGAAAGTGAGAACCACTGCAGTTAACTTCCTCTCCACTCCCCTCTCGGGATTTTGGGCATGCATGTACATATGCCAGATGTGAGGGTTTTTTTTTTTTTTTTAAACAGATTTTTGCTCATAGGGCGTGTACACTTTCCAGAGAGACAGAGACAGAAAGTGAGAAATTGCCCCCCTGGGGGGATGGCCATGTCACAATCCCTTCTCCATTCTCCTCTCGGGATTTTGGGCAAGCATGCACACATGCTTGATGTGAGTTTGTTTTTTGAGATGGATTTTTGCTATAGGGTGTGTGCGCTTTCCAGAGAGACAGAGACAGAAAGTGAGAAATCACCGCTGCCCCCCCCCCAGGGCGGGGGAGGGGGATGGCCACATTGCAAAAGTTTTGGGTTGGGTCAGTGAAGAGGGAAAAAAACTGCTCTTTGTGTTGCACGGCCTCATAGGTTATCTTATTTGGGAAGAATAATCTAGAAAGTCGAATGAAGTAACTTCTTCCTTTGCACAAACAAAAGTTGGGAGCAGCTACTTTCAGACCCTGGCAGCTTCGGCTCTGTCTTCGGGGAGGTCTTCTAGATTAGAGCAGAACCAGCCAGCTCCTAGCCTCCATAGTAGGCTCTGACCTGAGACTGGTGGTTAGGAAGGATCTGGTTTAGCCCCTGGAAGAGGGAGGAGGAGCTGTCAGCAGACAGTGGCCGGCCTGGAGTCGGCCCTCATTTTCCGAGGGCCTGCTCTTGGTCTGGCCTGGGGCCTGTGGAACGAAATGAATGGGTGCAGGCCCTGTCCTGAGATGCTCCAGTGTAGGGATATTGTGGGAAGGTTTTACAGTCTTACTATTTCATCATCTGAAAGGGGAAGGGGTGAGTGGGAGGGCCCAGGAACTAAAAGGAGGAGGAGCTAGCAGGATCTTACACCTTCTCAGTCAACTGTTCTTAATGCAGGCTCACTCCCAAACCATAAAGGCATGCATTTGTTACCGTTTAAAACAAATATACAGGGGCCAGCAGTGGCCTAGTGGTTAAGGCATTGGACTTCCAAATGGCTGACTGTGGTTTGAATCTGGGACTTGGCAGCTTGCTTTCTCACTTTCCCTTTCTCTCTCTCTGGTCAAATTTAAAAATAATAATAATATTAATGACAAATAAATTTTTTAAAATGTGATGACTGAAAACCGAATGAGTGAATTGAACCTAGTCATTGTGGGAAGCAAAACCCTCATTACAAGAAACTTTTATTTTGTATTAATATTACATTTACAGAAAAGCTGCAAAACAGAGTTTCCATATCTCCTTCACCTGATGATTTTTAATAGTAACTTCTTCCATAATCACGATGTAGTTTTTAGAACCAGAAAATTACCACTGGTGTAATACTATTAATTACACTTGATTTTAGCCAAAAGATGGAAGCCACTGGTGCTATTCATTGAAGCCTTTTTATTATTATTTTTAGTTTTGCGATAGGGTGTGTGTTTGCGAGAGAGGAACAGAGAGAGAGAGAGCGAGAGAGAGAGAGAGAGAGAGAAAGAAAGAAAGTGAGAAATCTTGCCCAGGGGGGATGGCCACACCATAGTCCTTTCTCCTCCATTGTCTTCTTGGGATTTTAGGTACACACACACACAATCACACACATATGCCGGAATGTTTTTCTTTTCTTTCTTTTTTTATTTTTTTAAGAATTATTTTATTTAACTTTCTTTCTTTCTTTCTTTCTTTCTTTATTTATTTAAATTTGACCAGAGGGGAACAGAGTGAGAGAAAGAGAAGAAAAGCAAGCCACTGGATTTGGGACTTGAACGGCAGTCAGCCATGCGGGAGTCCAATACCCTTAATCACCACATCACCTGCTGACCCCCTCCACCCACCCACTGCATGATTTTCCAGCCCCTGGTCCCAGACTCAAACTATAGTTGGCAGTGTGGGCTCCAACTGCCCCAACCACTGCACCACTGGCAGCTAGCCGCAACTAAAGACTTTAAAAATTTCTACCAGTTTTCTTTTTTAAACAAAATTATTTATTATTATTATTTTTTTGCTATAGGACATGTGTGTTCACCAGAGAGAGAGAAAGAGGGAGGGAGAGAGAGGGAGGGAGGGAGAGAAAGTGAGAAAGCAAGCCACCAAGTCCAGGACTCGAACTGCAGTTGGCCATGTGGGAGTCCAGTGCCTTAACCACCATGCCACCTGCTGGCCCCCCAACCTTTTAAAAGTGTTTTTGTTTGTATTTTTTTTTTTTAACGTGTACTCACCGGGGGGAAGAACCGGAGAAAGTGAGAAAGCACCCCTCCAAGGAGAATGGCCACACCAGCCCCTTCTCCATTCTCTCGGGGTTTTGGTCATGCAAACACACACGCACCTGGTGTGTTACACATACCAGGCTTGTTTTTCCAGGCTGTCTGGTCTGGAACTCAAATCGCAGTCAGCCATGTGGGATCCAGCTTCCTTCACCATACCATTGGCTTGCTTCCATTTAAAAAAATTTTTAAGCTGGCATTGGTCTTTCTACATATTTTTTTTAAGATTTTATTTGTTTTAGTCATGATAGTGTGTATATATGTGTGTGTGAGAGAGAAGCATTCTTGACAGGGTCCAGTCACCATGGTCCCCTTCTAGCTCACCAGCTCATTGAGATCTTAGGCATTCAGAGCAGGGGACCGTGGTCAAACATGTGGCTTCCAGCCCCACAGTCCGGCACAGACCATGCCACTGTGGCTGGGCCAGTTTTGAGCTCTTCTTTCTTTCTTTTTCTTTTTTCTTTTTTTTTTTGAGAGGTTTTTGCTATAGGGCACGTGTGCTCGCCTGAAAGAAAGACAGAGAGCGAGATATCATCCCCTGGGGGGATAGCCATGCCACAGTCCCTTCTCCTCCATTCTTCTCTTGGGATCTTGGGCACGCATGCACACGTTCCCGGCGTTTAAGCCACCGAGTCTGGGACTCGAACCGCAATTGACTACATGGGAGTCCAGCGACATAGCCATTACGCCAGCTGCTGGTCCCTTAAGCTCTTCTTTCAGGATTGTTTTCAGAATCTTTGAATTCCTCAGAAACATGTGTTTTAACAACTTAAAGCTTTATGCTTGATTCCTTATGAAAAAACGATGAGACTCATCGCCTAGCATCATCTATCTTTGTGACGATGGCAAAACCAGAAGAGCTGTCCTATCCCCTGTCCGACTCTTCTCCCCTCCCTGGAGTCTGACTTAGAGTCCAGCATTCCCCTCTTGATTTTACAGAGTAAGGGCTGGCAGGCAGCCCCTCGTGCATGTTGTCTTGGTAAGCAGTTACAACTCTGGGCTAAACACTTCCAATACTCAGATCCTCTAGTCTGGGTCTGAGAAGATAAGATTGGAAGTTCCTTGCTCCTCTTTCTGAATACCCTTTATCAGGAGGTTTCATTTATAAAAAGAAAAAAACAGAAGGCCCCTTCACACACAGGCAGCTATGGGGAGTGGCGAGTGAAGCCCCGGCAGCACCAGTTGCTTCTAGCCTGGAGTTTCTCTCGCTTTGTTTCTGCCGCACTGCGCACTAAGCTCTGTTCTCTTTTCTCCCCAAGTGCCTCCCTCCCCAGCGGTCCCTCGAGCAGCCCTGGGAGCATCCCTGCCACTGTGCCCGTGCAGATGCCAAAGCCCAGCAGGGTCCAGCAAGCACTTGCAGGTAGGCACCTACTCTTGGTTCTAGAACAGTCTATGCCCACAGGACTTGATTAGGGTGAAGTGGGGTATATTGCGGGTGGGGGCTTTGTTACCCTCTCAGTCCTTAGGGGACCCAGAGGAGTCTCTGGGGAAACTACCTGTTTTCAGTGATGGTGGATCCCCAAAATGAGCCCGGGGAGCCCCCTACTTTTGCTGTCTGGGAGAGTCGGGCCTGACAATGGTAGGTGCCCTGGGGTATGCCATTTACATTCTTTTTAATTTTTGTATCGAATCAAGTTCTAAAAAGTCTCTTTTCTGTCCTGAAATACTTGAGGCATTTTCCTAAAAAGGGCCTCTGGGGAATTCATAGAACTGTTGTGGCCGCAGCTACAGTCCTATGTAGGAACGAGCAGCTTCGCGTCCAGCTGGGTCTTCTGTTATCCATACATCTAGGAACTGTTTTTAGAAGTCCTTTAGCAGGTGTCAGAGGTCCAAGGTTATTTTTGAACTATTAGGACATGTATATAAAAAAGAAGACAGAACAGTATAGTGAACCTCTGTTGCTTACAAGCTGACACAGGGGAGTCAGATAACCAGTTTGAGTTTTAGGTGAGTTGCTGAAACAGCACAGGGTGACTTAGAGGAGACAGATGGGCCTGGAGACAAGGAGGCCCTGCAGAGCCTGACCTCATGGTACCATCATAGTAATGATGAATGAGGACTAGCTAGGGGCTTTGCACACCGCCCCCACCCACTGCACCACTGGCAGCTAGCCGCAACTAAAGACTTTAAAAATTTCTACCAGTTTTCTTTTTTAAACAAAATTATTTATTATTATTATTTTTTTGCTATAGGACATGTGTGTTCACCAGAGAGAGAGAAAGAGGGAGGGAGAGAGAGGGAGGGAGGGAGAGAAAGTGAGAAAGCAAGCCACCAAGTCCAGGACTCGAACTGCAGTTGGCCATGTGGGAGTCCAGTGCCTTAACCACCATGCCACCTGCTGGCCCCCCAACCTTTTAAAAGTGTTTTTGTTTGTATTTTTTTTTTTTAACGTGTACTCACCGGGGGGAAGAACCGGAGAAAGTGAGAAAGCACCCCTCCAAGGAGAATGGCCACACCAGCCCCTTCTCCATTCTCTCGGGGTTTTGGTCATGCAAACACACACGCACCTGGTGTGTTACACATACCAGGCTTGTTTTTCCAGGCTGTCTGGTCTGGAACTCAAATCGCAGTCAGCCATGTGGGATCCAGCTTCCTTCACCATACCATTGGCTTGCTTCCATTTAAAAAAATTTTTAAGCTGGCATTGGTCTTTCTACATATTTTTTTTTAGATTTTATTTGTTTTAGTCATGATAGTGTGTATATATGTGTGTGTGAGAGAGAAGCATTCTTGACAGGGTCCTCCAACCTGTGGCTTCCAGCCCCACAGTCCGGCACAGACCATGCCACTGTGGCTGGGCCAGTTTTGAGCTCTTCTTTCTTTCTTTTTCTTTTTTCTTTTTTTTTTTGAGAGGTTTTTGCTATAGGGCACGTGTGCTCGCCTGAAAGAAAGACAGAGAGCGAGATATCATCCCCTGGGGGGATAGCCATGCCACAGTCCCTTCTCCTCCATTCTTCTCTTGGGATCTTGGGCACGCATGCACACGTTCCCGGCGTTTAAGCCACCGAGTCTGGGACTCGAACCGCAATTGACTACATGGGAGTCCAGCGACATAGCCATTACGCCAGCTGCTGGTCCCTTAAGCTCTTCTTTCAGGATTGTTTTCAGAATCTTTGAATTCCTCAGAAACATGTGTTTTAACAACTTAAAGCTTTATGCTTGATTCCTTATGAAAAAACGATGAGACTCATCGCCTAGCATCATCTATCTTTTCCTTTCTGTGACTATGGGAAAACCAGAAGAGCTGTCCTATCCCCTGTCCTACTCTTCTCCCCTCCCTGGAGTCTGACTTAGAGTCCAGCATTCCCCTCTTGATTTTACAGAGTAAGGGCTGGCAGGCAGCCCCTCGTGCATGTTGTCTTGGTAAGCAGTTACAACTCTGGGCTAAACACTTCCAATACTCAGATCCTCTAGTCTGGGTCTGAGAAGATAAGATTGGAAGTTCCTTGCTCCTCTTTCTGAATACCCTTTATCAGGAGGTTTCATTTATAAAAAGAAAAAAACAGAAGGCCCCTTCACACACAGGCAGCTATGGGGAGTGGCGAGTGAAGCCCCGGCAGCACCAGTTGCTTCTAGCCTGGAGTTTCTCTCGCTTTGTTTCTGCCGCACTGCGCACTAAGCTCTGTTCTCTTTTCTCCCCAAGTGCCTCCCTCCCCAGCGGTCCCTCGAGCAGCCCTGGGAGCATCCCTGCCACTGTGCCCGTGCAGATGCCAAAGCCCAGCAGGGTCCAGCAAGCACTTGCAGGTAGGCACCTACTCTTGGTTCTAGAACAGTCTATGCCCACAGGACTTGATTAGGGTGAAGTGGGGTATATTGCGGGTGGGGGCTTTGTTACCCTCTCAGTCCTTAGGGGACCCAGAGGAGTCTCTGGGGAAACTACCTGTTTTCAGTGATGGTGGATCCCCAAAATGAGCCCGGGGAGCCCCCTACTTTTGCTGTCTGGGAGAGTCGGGCCTGACAATGGTAGGTGCCCTGGGGTATGCCATTTACATTCTTTTTAATTTTTGTATCGAATCAAGTTCTAAAAAGTCTCTTTTCTGTCCTGAAATACTTGAGGCATTTTCCTAAAAAGGGCCTCTGGGGAATTCATAGAACTGTTGTGGCCGCAGCTACAGTCCTATGTAGGAACGAGCAGCTTCGCGTCCAGCTGGGTCTTCTGTTATCCATACATCTAGGAACTGTTTTTAGAAGTCCTTTAGCAGGTGTCAGAGGTCCAAGGTTATTTTTGAACTATTAGGACATGTATATAAAAAAGAAGACAGAACAGTATAGTGAACCTCTGTTGCTTACAAGCTGACACAGGGGAGTCAGATAACCAGTTTGAGTTTTAGGTGAGTTGCTGAAACAGCACAGGGTGACTTAGAGGAGACAGATGGGCCTGGAGACAAGGAGGCCCTGCAGAGCCTGACCTCATGGTACCATCATAGTAATGATGAATGAGGACTAGCTAGGGGCTTTGCATATGTGTTAGCGCCTTTCATCCCTAAATAACTCTGTGAGGTAGGGACTTTTTTTAATAGATTTTTTTTTTCTTTTTTAAGCTTATTTATATCCTCAGACAGAGAGGCAGGCACCTTCAGCAGGGTCCCCAAACCATGGTCCACTCTCAGTTTGGATTACCGGCATGTGTGTGTACCCTCCTGGCGTGTAGAGGGAGGTCCTGGGACACTCCCACGTGGGTCCTGTTGCACTACTGCTATGCCATTGTCTGACCCCTTAGGGGCTTTTATTCCCCTTTTACATTTGAGGAAACTTCAGCTCAGAAAATTTCAAAATTCTCCACTAGCCAGCCCTCAGCAGAACTGCAACTCATCTTTGGGACTTAGTCCCTGGCATTTAGACCTCAGAATCCAGCTCCTCTCTGTCGTTCTCTAGTGCTCCTGAGTCTGCTGGGAGTGCTGGGAGGGGCAGAGGCTGGGTACAGACAAGTGGAGCTTGCCCAGAGGCATTGGGAGTTTGGGTGTGCATCCTAGAGGAGCAGTCTGGGGTGGAAGGGGGTGCTGTTTGTCCCCCATGGGAATGTGTGAGTTTACAGACTGTGGGTGGGACTCTAGGAACAGGCCCTGGGAGCTTCTGGAAGGAAGAGCCAGAGGGATGGTAGCAGATGGATAGGGAGAGTGGGGGGCTGGTGGGCAGGGGAAGCCCCAGACAGGAGACCTGCCCAGCAGGCCCTCTGGAGCCTACATTGGCTGCTCAATCATCAGCCCTCTGCCGGGGCCAGGAAAAAAGAGGGAGCAAAGTTGTACTGACAAGAAAGTTCCATCCCCGTGTAAGTGACCTCGTGACATGGGTGCCTTAGGTGAGTCAGACTTATTGTGTGTCTGTGCGCCTGTGTGGTGGTGTTGGAGAGCTCTGAGTACACGTGCCAGGCCTCCATGCGGCCCTGCTCCTTTGGCTCTGGTCTCCGGGCCTTCGCAAGCCTTTGAGGCAGTGCTGACGGGGCCTGGGACCGATCTGCAAAGCCATGGTACAGATGTCTTAACCACCTCTGCATGTTCTCGGGGGTGCCCTGAGGACCAAGCAGCACTTGCTCTATTTCCTCTGTTCTCATGGCTGAGGACACTGTCCAGGCTGCAACCAGGCTTGTCCTTGATATCCCTTCTCACCTTGGCTCAGAGCAGGCCTGGAGCTGGGTGCACATTTTCATGTTTATTTCAG